ATAATATTGTTAAACGAATGACAGGTGAACCTAGAGAATATTTAAGTATAGATTCATCTGAAGAAGATGAAAAGTGTGACACAATAACTAACTTAATACCAATTGAAGTATTAAATAGTTTAACTCCAAATGGACTTCCTCCTCACAAATTAATATTAAAGATTGGTGCAATTGTGATACTTTTAAGGAATATTAATTTAGAAAGAGGTCTTTGTAATGGAACAAGACTAAAAGTTATTAAAATGGGAAGTTTTTCTATTCATGCACAAGTAATAACGGGAAATTATAAAAATGAGATTGTAATTTTGCCACGAATTACATTGTCACCGTCTAACGAAGAAATACCATTTCAAATGTCAAGAAAGCAATTTCCAATAAGGCTTGGATTTGCTTTAACAATCAACAAATCTCAAGGCCAATCTTTCCAAAAAGTAGGCATATACCTTCCTTCACATGTTTTTAGTCCGTGACAATTATATGTTGCTTTATCAAGAGTAACTTCAAAATATAATCTTAAAGTATTATTATATAAAAATTCAAGTATTACACATAGCGAAAAAGGAATAAAAAAAAGATAGGCAATGAAAAAGAAATTTATGTATGAAACATTGTTTACCAAGAAATATTACAATAATATTTAACACATGTTTTAAAAAAATTCGACTACGAAGAAATCTACTAACTCTACTTTATATATAAATTAATTCATTGAATTGGAAATGGCTGCGCTGAACTGTAACGGCAGCGCCATAAAAAAATAATATAATTATTATTATACTGATCATATCGCATAGAAAGGATTAAAAAACCATTTAAAAGAAAAAAATATATAAAATATGCTCCCTCATTAACAAAAATATATAAAATATAATCAAGTAATAACAAAAACTGTAAACTGGCTGCGCTGAGTAGTAACGGCTGCGTAACATCAAGAAAATAATATAATAAATTATAATAATTTATTAATAACATCACTCATATAAAACTAAATTATAAAAAATTAATTTAAAAATTAATAAGAAATAAAACAACTTACGAAAATTGCAGAATGGATGCGATGAATAAGTTAAAACATATTATAACTTTACATTATTGTAAATGAAAATTAAGTATTAAAAATAAAAAAATCAATATTTTTCTAAGTCTCTAATTTTTTTGGACTTATAAGAAAAAAAAAATAGTTTGTAAGATTTTCTAACAGCATATATGAGAGATTATTTTTCAATCGCCCCAGCCCAAAAAGTCAATGTTCTGGGATTGGCTTCATGCTTTGGTAAATTGTTCTCCTATATGATAGTAATAAATCCCTAAAATATAAACTCATTAAAAACATATTTGTAGAAAGTAGAGGTGGTTGAAGTTTTGACGTTAAGGGTAACATTGTCATATTTAAATCCGTATAACTATGACAAAAGTTTATGGATTTTAATTTATCTATAATGAATTTTAATGCATTTTTCACGTACTTTTCACAAATGTATACGAAATTTAAAAAAAAAATTTTTACCCCTTTTTTTTCAAAATCAACCCTTATTTTTCGATTTTCACCCCTTCGGGTATTTTTTATTTTTTTTTTATTTTCATTGGAAAGCTGAGGTTTTTTCCCATGAGCTATGTAAATATGAAAATAGGACAACAATAATTTTGTGAGAAACAGAATATTAAAGTAGGCGGTGTCGATAAGGAGTATACCTGGAGACCATATTTGAGGATTTAGGTAGGCACCGCCTAATTTAATATTATGTTTCTCGCAAAATTATTGTTGTCCCACTTTCGTATTTACATAGCTCATGGGAAAAAACCTCAGCTTTCCAATGAAACTAAAAAAAATTTTTAAAAAATTCCCGAAGGGGTGAAAATCGAAAAATAAGGGTTGATTTTGAAAAAAAAGGGGTCAAAAATTTTTTTTTTAAATTTTGTATACATTTTTGAAAAGTGCGTGAAAAATGCATTAAAATTCATTATAGATAAAATAAAATCCATTAACTTTTGTCATAGTTATACAGATTTGAAAATGACAATGTTATCCTTAACGGCACCCTTATCGGCACCGCCTACTTTAATATTCTGTTTCTCACAAAATTATTGTTGTCCCATTTTCATATTTACATAGCTCATCGGAAAAAACCTCAGCTTTCCACTGAAAATAAAAAAAAAAAAATACCCGAAGGGGTGAAAATCGAAAAATAAGGGTTGATTTTGGAAAAAAAGGGGTCAAAAATTTTTTTTTTTTAAATTTCATATACATTTTTGAAAAGTACGTGAAAAATGCATTAAAATTCATTATAGATAAATTAAAATCCATTAACTTTTGTCATAGTTATACGGATTTGAAAATGACAATGTTACCCTTAACGTCAAAACTTCAACCCCCTCTACTTTCTACAAATATTTTTTTAATGAGTTTATATTTTAGGGATTTATTACTATCATATAGGAGAACAATTTACCAAAGTATGAAGCCAATCCCAGAACATTGACTTTTTGGGCTGGGGCGATTGAAAAAGAATCTCTCATATGCAAAGTATTTTGATTTATTTGAAAATAATTGAAAATAGATTTTTCAAGGACGGTGTCGAGGTCACGAGGTCGGTGTCGTTTTTCGAAATTTGTTAACTTAATATAATAGAAGATGTTTCGTTTTAAATTAAGAAATGTTAAAATTATTAAGTTAAAAACATTTGATTTTAATGACACTTAAAATTAGACACAATATTATAGGTTACTAACTAAAAATTGAAAAAACAACAATAAATAATAACAAATAATAATAAAAAATTGAAAAAATCAAAAAATTATTAAAAAATTGCAAAATAACCCTTTTTCGGGTTAAAATTGAAAAATAACCCTTTTTCGGGTTAAAATTGAAAAAAGATGTTGCATAAAAATAGTTTGTAAGATTTTCTAACAGCATATATGCAAAGTATATTGATTTATTTGAAAATAATTGAAAATAGATTTTTCAAGGACGGTGTCGAGGTCACGGGGTCGGTGTCGTTTTTCGAAATTTGTTAACTTAATATAATAGAAGATATTCACCTTATTGTTATGCTGACTTACACTCGATCAAATTTGACTATTTATCAATCCAACTAGCATGATAATGTTGAATGATTTCAGATATTGTAACTTATGCTATACTACTTAGTTTTAGGAGTACTTATGTACAAAAGGGCTTGTCCCGAATATTTGAATAAATAAATAAATAAAATAAAAATGAAAACATAAAATTATTTATTAATTGAGCATCAATATTCTTCGCAAAAAATAAACATTATTTATTTATTGATAAATTTTCTTCTGAGCATTTAATTGAATAAGTTAGTATTTCTTAAAGATTCGATTCGAGCCCATGTTAATTCTTATGGAGCGGTTCGAATTTTAAAAACTTGCACAGCTCTAAAAATAACACTTTTTCGGGTTAAAATTGAAAAAACATGTTACAAAAAAAAGCATGTAAGATTTTCAAAGTATTTTGATTTATTTGAAAATAAGTGAAAATAGTTTCTCCAAGGACGGTGTCAAGGTCACGGTGTCGGTGTCGCTTTTGGAAATTTGTTAACTTAATATAATAGAAGATTTTAAAAAAAGTTGAAATTTTACTATAAAATTCGCGATAAGAGTAGTAAAAAAAAATTAGGTTTCATTATTATTCATTCAGATTAATAGAGTGGGATCTAGTTTTATTTCGAGATTAAACTAAAATCATTCTTAAATTAATATGAAAACCTATTTTAATTTTTGACATTACCCAATTTGACACTATACTTTTTTGAACTATTACCTTTTCATCTTGAATAACAATATTCAATATTTCGATTGTACCTAATGTAACAGATGACAGTACTGAAGTAGAATAAACTACTGCATCCACATCTCCCCAATTGCGAACAGTATATAGAATCTAAAAGCAAGTAAACAAATTTAGAAAATTTTATAATTATAATCTATACATTTGATTCGCAAGTAAGTCCGGCTGTAAAAAGTAAATTTGCAAAATTATATACACCTACTGCTGAACGATTATAACATACATCTTTATATTTACAAAATAAAATTCCTGAAAAATATGACTTGTATATTATATTTTACAAAGTAGTGGAAATTTTGAAAAAAATATTTCACACTTCTATAAGCATCAGGAAAAGTACCAAGTACAAACAAAATCTATGATTCGGTAGTTCAAGAAGAATGAAAAATTATTTTTTAAAGAAAACATTCAGTTTAATTGGAGTCTTTTAAATATTAATTGTAAATTCAGTAGGAGACTTCTTTCTAAAAAAAATGACGTGTATTTTAAATTCAAACAAAAAAAATATACCAGTGGTGGAAAATTGCTAAATTCAACAAGAAAAAAAATAAATCGGCGTATAATTTTCTCTCCCTTTGATTGATGTGGCCAAAAACCGCAGGCTCTTAATAAAACTTGGTTGACTCTATAGAAATAATGATCGAGCTCCATACCTGCTCAACTATCGACAATTAACTGAACTGTGTAGAGTATATAGAGTATTGAGTCTATAGAATATTAAATAAATTTCATTTTACACTTCGTATTCTCTTCACGGTTATTAAAATAATTGCTGTAATTAAAGTATAGCTGCACGTTTATTTATTATTCTCAAGCTCCTGCGACAAGTAAACGTTTTATACTTTTGCATAATTAAATCGCGTGTGTCAAGTTTCCCTAGAATTTCAGACACACGATTTAAACTGAAATTAATGATTTTCTCTGCCTATACATAGAATACAAAGTAATATTGCGGATTTTAATTCTATTCTCTCCAATTATTAGAAACAATATATATTGATGTAATATAGTGGATGAACGTCCTTCGACAATCAAAATATTTAAATTTGTAATATTAAATATTTTTTCCTTTCATTATTTTGATATTAGAAATTGAGATTTTTTTGATTATTTTGAAAGTGAGGATATAAAGAAGACAAAATCATTCTTTCAATTTTCTTAATAAAGGAAAATAAGTATTACTAAGAAATTATAATTTTTTTAATCTACTTTTATTTTTCGTTCTTAAATCTAAATTTATTTTCGGCTAAATCAATTTTATTTTAGTCTTATGATTACGCATTAATGTCGGATTTACATATAAATCAAATAATTATATTAAGACGAATAGACAACTGTATTTATCGAAAGTGGCGCTAATTGAAGATTGATTATTCCATTTTTTGAGTCGACTAGATCAACTTCTTTAAAACTTCCACTCCTAAAAAAAAGAATTATTAATTTTTATCGATTTTAGTTTTATAATTCTTTTTATGATGTTAATTGCTTTTAAATATTCATTACAGTAATTTAATTACCTGTTATATATTACGACAACGGTTTCATTTTTTGGAGTTTGAAAAGCAACTGACAGTAGAGGATGGAACATTATCGAACTGTCTTTACTTGCAATTCGAACAGATCCACGAGGTAAAAATCTGCTAAAATGATGAAGAGCGTAATACATTGGTTGTTTGAAAAACTCATCAGTCTCTGGATTGACTATAATTGGAGAATCCACATTATTATTAATCCAAGTGGGTCCACCCGTTTTATCTAAAGCTAAATTCCAATCAATCCATCCTGTTGACCAATGTTGCAGATTCTAATGCAAAATCATGGATATAAAAGTTTAAATGTATTCAACATTTTCTGGATATCGTAAAAAATTAAAAATTAGTTAAATTTTAATTGTATCCTGTTGAAAATTCCTATGAACAAACATACATAGGATCCTATTACGAGTAAGTAGCATATGTTCCTCCGTTAGAAACTTTTAAAGTTTCCTTAACGAGTTCGTTCTTACGTCGTTACTAGTATATATATATTCCTACGTGTGATCCTTAGTATGTTGACCCTATTGAAAATTCCTATAAAGTTTCCCACATGTGATCCTTTAAAACGAATCTATTAGGATATAGTTTATATAGGGGAGAGGGTCCCAAGATGGACATTTGATATAAAATTTTCGTATAAGTATATATCACCTCGTGATTTTTTTTACTGATTTAGTTTGTTTAGATGAAGCTTTTTATATAAACACGGATCGGAAAGAATTATTTTTCTTCCTGTAACACATATCACGTAGATGTTTCGTTTTAAAAAGTTTTGTATCAGTTTTTAAGTTTTTATTTCAGTCGGTAAAATTATCTATATTTTTGATTTCGAATAGGTGCATATCGTAATAACCTCATTTATTTATCGTATAATAGTATTCTAAAATGATTCGGTTGACACTGTGTTTGTAAATAATATTTATTTGCTCCAAAAAAATGGGGTTATTGGTCCTAAGATGGACAGTCTGGAGGTCCTAAGATGGACATCACACCTTAATTTTATTTATTTTCAATGTTACAGTTTCTTAATATTGCTCTAAGCCTCATATAATTGAAATTTTTTCTGTTTCTACTTCGAAATTGTGTTGTTATCAATAGAGAATATGATTGCGTGTCATAACTGTCAGAGAGAAGTGCACTTAAAGTGCGCCAAAATCTGCGGACCCTGGTACGAATGTCCGAAATGTGACTCAGACAATTCAGCTTAGAACTGGATTTATTGTTAATTTCTTTTAATTAATTATAAAATAATTTATCTCTTATTAAATAAAATATAAATTAAATAAATTAGATTGGATAAATTAAATAAATTAATTTAATTTAATTATTCTCGTTAAAATTAATTTTCTTACAATATTATTTAATTTTTAACATTTAAAAAATGTTAGAACTTTTAAAAAATATAATAAAGAAACAGAAAATTGGTTTAAAAATCCTTACTTGATATTTTATTTTTATTTTGCTCGTTTTTTAATTCATTTTATGAAGGTGTCCATCTTAGGGCCACTTTTTTTCAAATCGAAATTTACAACAATTTGAAAAAATTCTTTAAAAAATGTTTGTTTGCAAATTAAAATGTTTTCTTTATGGCCAAAGGATACCTTATTTATTTTACTTTCATACGTTATGCACTATTTTTAAATATCCTAAAACGTTTGGATTCTTGAGCACAAAATCAAAACTATGTACATTTTGGGGCCCTCTCCCCTAGTTTTCTATATATTTTCCTACGTAGGATCCTACAAATGATGTCACAAAAAATAAAAATTAAAAAAATTTTTGATAATTTTTTTTTATTTACGTCATTGTTACCTTGCTTGTTTTTCAATTTCTAGTATTCTAAAGGGTATAAGTGCCCAAAATATTAGGCCCAATGTCTGGGATTGGGCTCAACATTTTTTGACAAATAAATTTTATAAAATCTCATCTTTTAGGGTTTTTGGGATCTCAGGATTAGAAATTCAAAGCTACTTTTCAAATTCGGCACAGGGCCCAATGTAAGATTCTGCATCCCAATGTGAGGACTACAGTAAAAAAAATTAGTTTCCATCCATTTCGTAATCGTTATATATGAAATTCTGGGCTTAGTCTTGTGGTACAAATTTCAAAAATATTGGGTCCAATTTGAAAATTAGCTTCGAATTTCTAATCCTGTGATCTCAAAATCCCTTCAAGATGCGATTTTTTTAAATATTTATTTATCTGTAGAAAAATTTTGGACCTAATATCTTGGATTGAGCCTAATATTTTGGGCTCTTATACCATATGTCTGAACGCAGAATTTCATGAGGTTTACGAATTTGATACTGAAAATTAGTGGTCTCATTTAAGAAAACTACTTTTTTCATTGTAGGGCCCAACTTTTTTGGTTTCGAAGATGTACATCTTTTTGTTTGGAACAACTTTTATCTTGAACATTTTTTTACGAAAATTCGTACTTTTCGAGATATTTGCAAGTTTTCATACTTTTGGAACACCCTGTATAAACTATATCCTAATAGATTCGTTTTAAAGGATCACACGTGGGAAACTTTATAGGAATTTTCAATAGGGTCAACATACTAAGGATCACACGTAGAAATATAATTGTGACGCTCCACGAGAGAAGGGACCTATCTCCGAAATAATATTAGGTTTAGTTTTCATGTACGGTGCACGGAAAACTGAGCCTAATATTATTTCGGGGATAGGTCCCGTCTCTCGTGGAGTGTCACATATGTATACTAGTAACGACGTAGGAACGAACTCGTTAAGGAAACTTTAGAAGTTTCTACGAAGGAACACACATGCTACTTACCAAGAGCAAGGTACGAAGGAACTAGTGAAAGAAACTTCAAAGGATACCACATAGTAACAAACTAATAAAGAGTACTGTAGGTACGAACTAGTGAAAAACACTTCAAAGGATATCATGTAGGAACACACACTACTTACCAAGAGCAAGATATGTACGTACTTGTGAAAGAAACTTCAAAGGATACCACGTAGGAGCACACGGTGCGCCAGAAGGTGGCTTAAATAAAAATGAATTGGCACTTAAAAATTCTTTTTGGTTATGATTCTTAGATGAATAACAAACATTTCTCAATAGTTTTTAAAATCAGTTTACGTGCCCGAATTAAATAAAATTGAGTTTTTATATAAAAACAGTGTTTTATGGGGAATCAGAATTTATTTAATCTAATAAATACTGTAATAAATGATAAAATAATTACTTATTTTCAATTTTACATATAAATAATTATATTGCTGTAGTGTTTGTGTCCAATTTTAAAAAATTAAATTATAATGTTAAAAGAACGATTTTAAGAGTGTCAAAATTTATTTAAGAGAGTCGAATGATCTCTGAAATTTTTTTGGAAGAAGAGACCTTTAATTATCGCTCTATAAAAATGACACTAAACGTGAAAATGATAAACATTGATTTTAAAATACTTTCTTCTCGAAAGACGGACACTTTTTACAAAAGCAGCTAGAGATCCTTATCTTATATAAAATTCCTAATTCCGAAAGATTATGCGAATCCATACAAAAACACGATTGCAAAACGAAAAGTAATATAATGAGGGGTTCATTACCTCCTGCCGCCGTCAGATGGCAGCAGCATGCAGGGCGCACAAAGTCGCAGCTGTTATTAGATTACTTTTCTACTTTTTGTTTTGCAACCATGTTTTTCTATGGATTCGTACAGTCTTTTGGATTTAGGAAATTTAGAAGATGAGGATTTTGGCTGATTTTGTTAAAAGTGTTAGTGTTTCCAGAAAAAAGTATTTTAAAATCAATACTATTTCACGTTCAGAACGATAATTAAAGCTCTCTTCTTGCCAAAGAATTTCAGATACCGTTCGACACTCTTAATGCATAAATATAAAAACGAAACAAGAAAATAACTTCATTGTTAATAAATTTATATGAACCCAAATCTAAAACATCTATTATCTATACGCATATAAGTATACATTAAATAAATTCTGGTTCCTTATAAAGCACTATTTTTAAATATTTAAAACTATTGAGAAAAGTTTTTTATTCATTTTAGAACCATAATCAAAAAGAATTTTAAGTGCCAATTCATTTTTATTTAAACCTCCTTCTGGCGCACCGTGAGCAATCATTATTTAGCAACAAAAAGGTACGTACAAAATTTGTAAATGATCTTATTAAGGTTACCATGCAGGAACCTATTTAGGAACACTTTTATACAACATTTCGTAAAAAGCATCCCGTGAAGAAACACACACAAGATCATCTATCGGATTCACGTAGGATCTTACATTAAAAGTTGATTATAAAAGAACTTGTAGATGATCTTACACAGGAAAAATCGTGAGATACCCTGTTATAATTATTTTAAACATGTGGGAAACCATGATAGTTCACACACAAGTTCCTTACAGGATCCTTTACAAAAGGATCCTGTGTGATAAACCATATTCCCTCCATACGAGGGAACTTACGAAGGAACTCGAAATAGGATCCTGTGTGTGTTCCTTCACAGTAATTTTCAACAGGGATATTTAATGGAATTTAAAAAATTTTACCTCTATTATCTGAGTTACATAGGACTCAGCTCTGTCCCAGTTTCCAAGTCTGACCTTTGGATTTTGCCATGGAAAAGATCCTAAAAATGTGGGACAAAGTACATAAATTAAAAACTAACACAGAAAATTAAAAGGCATTAAAATAAGCTGCAACGCTTCTTATTTTAATCCAATTTTGCTTATTTTAATCCATTTTGGTATTAAAATAAGCAAAATTGGATTAAAATAAGAAGCGTTGCAGCTTATTTTAATGCCTTTTAATTTTCTGTGAATATACCATTGGTAAATTATTATTTAATTAAAATTCTTTTTGTTATTTCAATCAGAAGATGATTTTTTTTTATTGCAGATTGAGATATACTTTAAAAATTTCATCTTCACTATATAAACTTACCTTCACAGGATTCTGTTATTAGAAGAAATTTGTCGGGAAAATGATTGTGAGTAATATCCAAGACCTTGGCCGGAACCAATGAATCCCAATACCAATGAATGCCAATGCCACTAATATATTTTTCTGCAAGATTATTTTTAAAAATCAAATCAACAGACCAAGGAAGAGCGTATCTTTGATCATCAACAGTAATAATGAGAGTTTGATTATGTTGTGAATTAGCTAAGGATGGTCCCAAATTATTTGCAACCCAATTTCCAAGACCACTCGATGTCCATCCCATTGCATTGATACGATTGATAGGATAGTACGCATTGGATGGTTCATTACCAGTTGAAAGAGCCCACATTTCAAGTCCTTCTTTTTTATAATTATCCATAAATTTGAGAATATAATCCGTGTACACTTGATAGTATTCTTTTTTAAGAAATCCTATGAAAATTTAATTTAAAAAATAATTTATCTTTAGATTCTTCTGTTTTTTTTTTAAACAATTACTTTCATTTCAGGAATTAATTTCCATTGACAATTTTTTGTAATGCATTTAAATTAAATGCTTGATATGGAATTCATTTATATTTAATAGAAATTTATTAAAATTCAATGAAAATTTTATGAATTATGATAATTTGAAATGTTAGTTGGTTCTCTCATATTTTTTAATTACTATGAAAATTAAAATTAAAAACATAATATTAAATATAAATGTATAAACTATTTTTTCGTGTTTAATAATAATTGTTATATAGAAATTTACCGAAACCAGTGTAATAGTCATTGGTTTTCATCCATGCAGGAGCGGTCCAAGCAGCTGCCAAGAATTGCATCTCAGGATTTATCCTCAAAGCTCTCTGCATCAATGGAATTTTAAAGTCCATATCTTCAGAAGCAAGACTAAAGTTTCTTAATAGAGTATCTTTATTAATGTCATCGTATGTGTAAAATCTTGTCGAAAAATCGGTACCTCCAATAGGTACGCGTCCAATGTTGTATCTACTTCCATCTTCACCAAAATATGTACTGTAAAAATTAATCTATCTACATATTTATATAACTAATTTTGTCATTAAAATTTTCTTTAATTTAATTTCTATGAAATTATTATAACAAGCATGAGAATTATAATTTAATTTATGTTTTTCGTTCCTTTTGCCTTTTGTTTTCGTCTATAAAATTTAGGAAAAAAAATCTTTAAACTATTATAACTTTTAAAATAATTTAGATGTCTCATTACTTCTTTTTGCATTTGCAAGAGTTTTTTTTTATTTTTCTTTTAAAATCCGTTGGAAAAATTAAAAAATGTTCAAAATTAACAAAATGGCGGCCATTTTAATAAAAAAAATTGTAATTTTAAATTACTCAAAAACCTCACTTTTTTTTGCTCAAACTTTTTTTGTGGATTGTCTTCACCGTGAAGAATATTTTTTAATAACTTGTATCCAATTCTAGTAGCAAAGAAATAAATTTTTTTTTTTTATTATTTTTTAAGAAAAATTTTTTTTTCCCTTCTACGCAGAAATAAAAAAAAAGCAAATTCTGTTGCATAGTTAACTCTTTAAAATGTCGTCAAACCAGAAGGACAGCATTTATGCAATTGGGTGTAAATAAATATTATTCAATGTACCCATCCCAGGTGAAACGATTTTACGGAAACTACTCCACGGAAATTCCACACGGAATTCCGTAAAAATTATTTATATACGGAATTCTGCAAAAATTTCCGCAAAATTTTTGAAAGTTCTTTTGTAATTTTGCGAATTTTTTATAAGAATTACACACATAATCTCTATACAGAATTGCACAAAATTTTTGTTAGAATTTCACAACTGTACACTGAAAAAAATTTAGCCGAAATCCTCAACTACCTTTTGTTAATTGACTTGAAAGTAGTAAAAGTAACTACTTTTTTGGTTATTTTAACTATGTGCGTGTAGTCAATTTAACTATTTTTTATGGAGTTAAGAATTAGTAGTTAATTGTACTTAACAAAAGTAGTTAAATTAACTTCAAAAATTAGAACAATTACAAAATCTCCTTGACCCAACTAAATTCTTAGTTTTTTAAACTACTTTTTAATAGTCCATACAACTTTTTAAATTCAGTTAAGGACCTATTGAACTATGCAGGGTAGTTAAAAAGTAGTCAAATCTACTAGTTTTTTTATTGAGTGTATTTTTTACTGATTTTTTTGTAATTTTAAAATAACTGCTGGTGGATACACTGAAAAAAATTAGTCAAGAAATTCAACTACCGTTAGTTAGTTGACTGAAAAATAGTAAATTTCTTTTGGAAAACGTTTTATTGACCTCTCAAATAAGTTCGACTAGATATTAATTAATCTATCATAAATCCTATATTATATTCACCAGGAACATCATCGTCAACTAGTTTTCGTTATAGTAGCAGCAGTTATTTTAAAATCACAAAAAAATCAGCAAAAAATAAAGTTGTGGAATTTTATTGAAAATTTTGTGCAATTCTGTATGGAATTCTTCCAAAAAAATTTGCAAAATTAAGAAAGAAATACTTTCAAAATTTTGCGGAATTCCGTATAGAATTTTTGCGGAATTCCGTATGGAACTTCCGTGGAGTGATTTCCGTAGAATCGTTTCACCTGGGTATGCCTTTTCTTACTTGAATAAGTTTTCTTGAGTAGTTTCACTGAGATTTCTAATATTAATTCCAGCAGAGTCTGTAAAGGCACCGCCAAATCCTTTTATTTCCTGATATTGCAATTTATGATCAATTGTAATGGTTCTCGATGACGTCGAAGTATTACTCATTTTTCCTACTGTTAGGTCCATTCTGCGTCCAGATTTTGTTGATGAGTACCAAAGAAAACTTCTAGGTGCAACATTAGTTTCTGGAGTGGAATCGCAATATGTGGAGTTACAAACACAGACAATGCTGCCATCTCCAAAATAACGAGGAATACATTCATTGGCGGCTATAAACATTTAATTATAGATTAAATTTTCTAATCGGGAAATGTTAAACTGCAATTTGTCATTTAATAGCGAAAATTAGAGTCAAAGAAATAGGTCGCGGCTTTAAGACTAAAAGTTCAAAATAAAGATGTTTAGGTTATATAACGCGTTAGTTATATTGCTTTTATTCTTTGTAAAATGAATAATTCAATTTTCAAAATTTATGTGTCATAATTTATTATCATTACTATTTGATGAAATTTAATAAATTTCATTATTTCAAATAAGCGCGCGCTATTTTATCCTGTGGGTCAATTACGTAACTTTTTCCGGATTCCACGATCCGGATCCCACATTTCACATTCCATATTCCGGATAATACATTCCGGATCCCACTTTTCACATTCCGGATTCCGGATAATACATTCCGGATCCCACTTTTCACATTCCGTAATCCGGATTCTACTTTTCATATTCTGGATTCCACACTTGGAATTCCACTTCAAAAATTCCGGATTCCACATTCTATATTCTGAAAGTGGAATACGGAATGTGAAAAGTGAAATCCGAAATGTGGGATCTGCAATGTAGATTCCGGAATGTGGAATATAGGATCCGGAATACGATGTCTTGAAAGTGGTATCCGGAATATGGAATCCGCATTCCACATTCGAGATTACACTTTCAAAACTTTGTATTCCGGATCATATATTCCACATTTCATATTCCACTTTCCAGATCTCACATTTCGAATTCCACATTCCGGATTCCACTTTCAGAATTTAGAATCCTAAATTTTCGAAGTGGAATCCTAAGTATAGAATACGGAATGTGAAAAGTGGAATCCGGAATGTGAAATACGAAATGTGGGATCCGGAATACAGAATTTTGAAAGAGAAATCCAGAATCTGTAATACGGGATTTTGAAAGTGCGATCCGGAAAAAGTTACGTAATTGACCCCCTGAGCCATCAGTGGTTCTTAATGTTGAGTTACCGTCTATCGAGGCTATTTTGTTATTCCAGGGGCTATTATACACAACGCCCGTTTTTAAAATAAATTTAATAATTTCATTTAATAAATTGAATTTTCTGCAATTTTTTGTGAATAAATTATAAAGTAAGTATTAGTTTCAAAAATTTTTTACTTTTTTCCCAAATCAAATGCAAATTAAAAAGTTGGCCTTTACACTCAATTATTAAGCATATGTGATATATCTTATATTCATTAAGTAAATAATTATTTACCACTATTTATTGAATCTAATAAATGATTTTTTTTAATTTGGAACAATTAATTAATTTTGTTCATTGAAATAATTGGTTTTTTAATATAAATAAAAATTATTTGATAAAATTTTATTTTATCGGTTCAACTTCAAATAGTCAATTATTAATTAATACGAATAATTTATTATTTAATGCTTATAAAATACTTATAAAAATTTTTACGACGTCGAATCTTAAATTATCGAATTTCTATTTAGCAAAATTTGTATAAAGTGGATTTTATATTATGAAAAATTTTCATATCGAAGAATTTACATTTAACTAAAATTCGAATTAAAAGAATTTTTATTTAGCAGAATTCTTATGATGCACATTTTCTAATATTTTTTTTTAAATTTAAATTAATATAATTTCAATTTAACGAAATTGATTGGTGTATTTTATTGTATAGTTTATAATTGTAATGGTTTTTACCTAAAAACAAATAAATTGAATTGAAATTGAATTGAATTTAACGAAATGTATGTCTAGAAAAATTGCTAAAAAAAGAACTGAGTAGAATTTTTCTTAAATGAAAATTCTGTTAAATAAGAATTAGTTCTAATTAAAATTTTCTTTAATAAAAACTTTGTTAATTAAGAATTTTGTTAAATAGAAATTCTGTTGTATGTGGATTTATTCAATGACAATTCTGTTAAGTAAATATTTTTGATAAATCAAAATTTACTAAAATAAAAATTCTGTTAAAAAAATTTTTCTTTGTGTAATTTTCTTTTTTGACATAAATTCCGTTAAATTGAAATTGTATGAATTTGATATTCGATGTACCAGAAAATCTGCTTTATATAATTTTACTAAATAAAAATTTGATAATTTAAGATTCGACGCCGTAAAAATTATTTTAAATTAAATGTTGAGAATATTTATACATTCCCAATTAGTTTATTTATTTTACTTAAATGTTATATTTTTTATGATACATTATTTATATGGTTTAAATACATTTGAAATTAGTGGATAATAGACAGGTAAATGATTTAATGGTATCAAAGTAAATTTTATTTGATCAAAATAAAAATATTTTAGTGTAATTTAGGTCAGGAAAAAGTCAGTGAAAAGTCAGGAAATTTTTTCCTAGCAGTTGTTATAGTATTTTTCATAAAGTATTTGAGTTTTATGCAAAGCAGATAAATATTGTCAAAATTGACTTCTGATGATGTATTCGAAGTTTCCTACCTTTTTATTGTATACTAGCAAAATTAAACGCGCGCAATCGCGTCAAATTGAGTATTTAATTGTTTGTTATAAAGAAATTAAAGATTAATATTATCAATAATAATTTAATTTATTAGAATATTATTACATATTAAATGATAATAATGAAAATTATATGTTTACAGGCCTCGGATTATACGACTTTTTCCGACTATTTTCAAAAATACGACTTTTATCGACTTCTTTTAATAAAATGCGACATTTTTTTTTACATTTGAAAAAAAATGTAAATAAAATACACTTTTTTAGTATAAAATGTAGATCTTCTTCAGATCTTCTTCAATTCAATTATTTAACAAATTTTGAACTAAAATGATTCTTCACTAAATTAATTATTTTTAATAATTTTAATGAAATACATCACAAATTCAATTATATCAAAATTATTTTTCAATTAAAATTTTTATGAAATTTAACAATTGTTTATAATTTAAAAATAAAATATCACAATAAAATTGAATTAATTTTTAAAAATTTCAATTCAAAATAAACTAAAATTCAAATATTACCCGAAAATTTAATTCAAAATCAATTAAAAATCCAATAATTATCCACAATTTTCAATTTAAAATTTAATTATTTACCAAGTTTTCAATTTAAAATGAAATAAAATTCAATTATTTTCTAAATTTTCTATTCAAAATTAATTATCCAAATTTTCAATCAAAAATGAACTTAAATTAAATTATTATCCAAAATTTCAATTAAAATTCAATTACACAGCCACACAAAAAAAAAAAAGTACCCGGGCCGGGGAATGAGACCACCATTTCTTGATGTATTTTGATGCGCTGAACCCGAATCTGAAGTCCGTTTAGCTCCATCACGTCAGGATTTTGACATAACCTCAAAAAACATAGATGAATTTAAATGACAGGAGAAATTTTTTAAATAATGGCAGATCTGTTTGAATCTTGTTACTCGGGGGTTTTTGGGGTCGCTGATTACGAATTTAACGTCAGATTTATAAAATTCAAAATGGCGGATTCAATATGGCGGACGAATTTTTAAAAAGTAGTTGGATTTTTACGAAAATTGGTATCTAGGGGTTTTGGGAGTCGCTGATTACAAATTTATCGTCAGATTATTCAAATTCAAAATGGCGGATCCAATATGGCGGACGAGTTTTTAAAAAATAGTTGAATTTTTATGTAACTTGGCCGATACTGGGGTTCCGAGTCCCTGCATCGTAATACGTTTCCTACGTGTGTCTGCCATGACGGCATCAAAGCCATTATCCAGGGACTTAGCCGGATAGCGGACAAACTCCGTTGTCCACCGTCACCGCGTGGAGGTACCCTGGATGCAGACACATGTAGAAACATAAAGATATTTGACCACCGTACTATATCTGCCATTTTACATTTGAATAATCTGACGTTAAATTCGTAATCAGCGACTCCAAAAAACCCCATGATACCAATTTTTGTAAAAATCCAACTACTTTTTAAAAATTTGTCCGCCATATTGGATCCGCCATTTTGAATTTGAATAATCTGACGATAAATTTGTAATCAGCGACTCCCAAAACCCCTAGATACCAATTTTCGTAAAAATCCAACTACTTTTTAAAAATTCGTCCGCCATATTGAATCCGCCATTTTGAATTTTATAAATCTGACGTTAAATTCGTAATCAGCGACCCCAAAAACCCCCGAGTAACAAGATTCAAGCAAATCTGCCATTATTTAAAAAATTTCTCCTGTCATATAAAATCAGCTATGTTTTTTGAGGTTATGTCAAAATCCTGACGTGATGGAGCTAAACGGACTTCAGATTCGTGTTCAGCGCATCAAAATACATCAAGAAATGATGGTCTCATTTCCCGGCCCGGGTACTTTTTTTTTTTTGTGTGGCTGTGTTATTTCCCAAAATTTTCAATTCAAAATGAACTGAAATTCAATTATTTTCCAAATTTAAAATCAAATAAAATTTCATTATTCTCAAAAATTTAAATTCAAAATTAATTGAATTTTCAATAATTTGAATTTAAAAGCATCTAAAATTTTCCATCGAAATTTTTTATTTTTGAAATTTAATAATTTCAATTATAACTCTAAGGAAATTCAATTATTTTTAACTATTTTAATAATATTCTTTGCAATTTCAACTATCTGAAACCATTTTCCAATTAAAAATGATTTTCAAATTATTGTATTTTGTCCGCATTTTCTAATAAATTTTTAGTGAAATCATCTAAAATTTTAATTACAAAACACTTAAAGTTTCAATTAATTTCAAAAATCTCAATTTTAAATCTTTGAAAATTCAATTAAATTTAAAAAATGTTTTCTAAAAATTGTTTGATAAATTATTTTTAGTTCTGTAAAATTTAATAATTCTTTGAAAATTAACAATATCTTTTGAAATTTAATTATTTCTAAAAATTTCAACTTTAACCCTTCGAAAAGGATTATTATTAAAAAAAAAATTTTTTTATTTAAAAATCTGTAAAATATTTTTGTTAAAATAAAAAACAAATCCACTTTTTTTTGGAATATAAATCGACTAAAACGACTTTTTGTGTCTTTAAGTTGATTAGAGGCCTGTGTTTTTATAATTAATATTTAATAGGTATTCGTTGGCCCCTGGTACCTTAAAAATTAATTTTGAAAAATAAATTTTTTTCAAATTACTCTCTTGTACGAAATTTTCTGGCGCATCTTTTTTCTCATCATAAATTTTTTGTATTTGTATACAATTTTTGAATGAATATACAACTTTAAAAAAAATTTCGTTGGTAAACGTTGTGTACTTCAGCTTCGTGAATTGAATTTTGGAATTTGGAATTTTAAAGAAACTTATTCCGAAATTTGGAAACACAATTATACAACTTTGGCAAAAATGAGAAAAAGAATTGTCAAAATTTGACACGTCATAAGATTACTATTCAAAAAAACACGTGAAATCAGAAAAGGCCAACTTCAAGTTAGGACAGAAGGACAGACCAAGCATTTTATTATTATATAATTTAAGAGAAACGTGTAAAAAACGAAAAAAAAACAGGATACTCTGGGTAATTATGAGCATACTTTAAAAAATCAGTTATTTATTAAAAATTTTGATTCACAGAAAAAAACTAATCTCAAATTGAGTACGAAATTTATACTCAATTTGATACGTATTAAAAATGAGACAAGCAGATGGCGTCACGTTCTATGTCATTTAACATGAACTCATTTTGAGATGCAACAAATATGAGTCCAACTTTGTTCTGCATTGTAACATATAAATAATTTTAAAGTGCATTACTTTTATACGTTTTTATGATACTTTTATGTATGAAAACTATAAATATGTAAATTGCATTGGATGCAAAAGTAACACTTAAAGAAAAGTAACTATTCAACTTTCAAGTTTATTTTCACAATTTTTTCTTAAAATAACTTAAAAATATTATAGGAAACCATCCCTTATGAAAATTCCTTATAAGAAAATAATGTTAAAGCTGAAATGTTTTCAGTATAATGTTTTTTGTATAATATTTTCGCGATTATAGGTAATTTTTTATAAGAAATTCATTATAAAAATTTTTTTTCTCAAATAATTATAAAAATATAATTATCAAAGACTCTGTAATTAAATCATTACAATTTTATAATTATGAAAATGTAATTATAGAAAATAAAATTTTTCACGTGCAAAAATTAATATATTATAAAATTAAAATTATAAAAATTTAATTACAGAAATTAATTAATTTTATATTTTACTGATAACTATATATAGTTTTGTAATTTTGTATTTTACTGATAACTATATATAGTAATCAGTAAAATACAAAATTAATTAATTTCTGTAATTAAATTTTTATAATTTTAATTTTTGCACGTGAAAAATTTTATTTTCTATAATTACATTTTCATAATTATAAAATTGTAATGATTTCATTACAGAGTCTCTGATAATTATATTTTTATAATTATTTGAGAAAAAAAAATTTTATAATGAATTTCTTATAAAAAATTACCTATAATCGCGAAAATATTATAGAAAAAACATTATACTGAAAACATTTCAGTTTTAACATTATTTTCTTGTAAGGAATTTTCATAAGGGCACATTGTTTACTTGATCTAAAATATATTAATTTATGGTTTTTGAATAATATAATTTCTAAACTTTCAAATATAAGGTGCCTGTAATTGTTAAAAGATAATGTTTTAATTTTCTAATTTGTTTAAAAAAATTACTGTTTGCGCTCCTTTTTTTTTAATGTACTCTAGATTATCTATAAAAGAAATTCCATATACCCAAAAGCCATTAAAAAAATTTTCGCTCTACTTTATAGAAGAACAAACTTTGCTGTGTAGAATAGCCCCAACTGAGTATCATTATATGCATTACTTTACGTTACTACAATTTCGACAAAAAAAAAAAAATTTTTTTTGTTAAACTACAGGAAATCTTCAAAGTTATGTCCACGACCTAAATCAATAGTTACATTTTTTTTTAATTCTGAACTTTGGTGAAGCGTAGAGTAAAAAAATGTCTTTTTCCTGATCATAATAGCCCCAGTTGACGGTAGACGAAACCAGAAATTTAAAATCGGGAAACCGGACGTTTTATAGAAAACTGATTTTTAATTTTTAAAAGTAGTACATGCGCTATTATATAAGCGTTTTATAAAAATAAATAAATAATTCCTTTAATAAAATAATTTTTGACTTAATTAAATTTTATTTATTTCAAAATAAAGAAATTATTGGTTTAAATGCAGTTTATTTGATTTAAGAAAATATTTATTTCATAAAATAGTTGCAACACACTGAAAAAATTATATTATTCTAATTTTAAGAATAAAATATGTGTGGAAAATATTCTTAAAATTTAGAATTATAATTTTTTCAGTGTAAGTAATCGATTATTTGAGACAAATAAATTTTTGTTTTTCAGTGAATATATAAAAATATATTTAAAAAAATTTATGATTGTTAAATAAAATTGAAAGAAAGAATTTACCTGCTAGTGAAAATAAGGCGAGGAAACACAGCACGAGCATCATGATGATGTTTTCAACTACAGACTGCTTTTGGGAACAAAAAATGTAAAACTGTAACATTTATTTAAATATATTATATCGAATATAATTTAAATACATAAGCATTTGTCCATGACTATGTAGGGTACTATGACGTTTGTGAGATAAGAATTTATCATTAATATATAATCAGTAGAATTTTCTTATTTTTTTATTCCAAAAATTTTTGGCGAAATATGTTTTTTTGGAACAGAAAGCACTATTTCAGGATAATTAGATTTAGTTACATATACACAGAGGGTGATTTTTATGTTCCGGAATCACTAAAAAATTTCTTTTTTAAATTATTTTTATTTTTATTTTTATTTAAACAACGAAAAAAAAATTGAGAATAAAAAAAAATTTTTTAGGGGGTCTGGAACATAAAAATCACTCTTTATATGTATTGAATTATTACTTTTTTAAACTTTTTTACAATAAAAAATTATACATGTACTAGAGGAAGAAATTTAAAATGAAATAACATAATATTTGTTTTGTTTCTTAAATTACATCAAATGAAGATAATATAGATAAGATTGTATATGTTTTAAAATAAGAAGATTTGCACGTGATATGAAAAAAAGTCTCCAAATAAAATGTAAAATAAAAATAAATTTATTAAAATAAGAGAATAAGAAGAGAATCTGTAAAATGAAAAGTCGAAATTGTGAATTAGAGAACAATTTTTTACCCACCCAAAAAATAATTGTCACAGATCAGCTGTTATATACAGAACTGTTACAAATTTTTTAAAAACATGAAAACATATTTTTTTTTAACGGTAATTTAATTTATTTTAATATAATTTCGTGAATAAATCAAAATGTTTTTCTTTGTATTCTTTTTAAATAAAATTTTTGCAGTTCTGAAGAGGACAGTAATTTGTTTAAAAAAAAGGGGGAATAGGGGAAATTTTATTTGAAAAAAGGGGAAAAATAGGATAAAATCTAAATGTATATTTTCCTTAATCAAAATGCTTTAAAATTGTTTTAAATTACACTACCGGTGAAAATTTTGAGACCACCCCCAGATAACAAACGTGTCTGGCACGTTACAGGCACAACGAGCGGCGGACCGTGTTCCTGCTGTAACGTACCTTTTGTGCCACCTACTTTATGACAAGACCGACAGTGCCAGCATCGTGCTCGCAATATTCCTGACATATTATCCGGATCTTTTGTCCAGGATATATCTGCCAATAGGCTTGTTTAAATTTCCGTTTTTGAATCTTCATTATAAATAAAAAAAGTATTACTTTCACTAATAAAATTAAATAATTTATAAATAAATTAATTTTTATTGATATTTTATTTTTTTGTAGTGATAAGCAAAACAAGTTTGCAATAATTTTTTTTATAGTTCAAAATATATAAAAATATAAATAAAAGAATAAATCTAGGGATAAGAGAAAATAACAAGATTTATTAAAAAATAATTCACAAATTTTTAAAAATGTAGAATACTTTTTAAAATATCTAAAAAATCATGAATACAAGATTTAAAAAGTAAAGTAAATTATCAAAAAGATGAGAAAAATATAAGCCAACAAATTTTTAATAAATTAAGCAGTTTAATAATAATAAAAATCCTAATAACTTAAGTTTTGTAAAATACACTATAGAAATGTTCAGAAAAGAAAATTCTTAAAATATAAGAAAGTTAAGGAGATTATTCATAAAATGAAGGAGTTTAAAAAATGTAAGAACAAAGCTTTAAAGAACGAAAAAAGCTTAAAATATTTAAAAATGCCCAAAACAAAAACTAAACAGCTTTAAATTTTAAAAAAATTATGAAATGTTAAAAATTGTATAAAATAAAATGTTGTAAGAAAATAAAAGAATATATAAACGAATATAAAAAGAATCTGAAAATTAAAAAAAATTGAAATGATTTACAGAAATATTTTTAAAAAATTAAAGAAAATGTTATAACAGAACGAAAAACTATTGAAATATAGGAACGATTGGGAAATTTGTAAAAATACAGGAAAAAATGCAAAAAAAAACTGACTAGAATCTATTAAAAAAAAAATATAAGGAAAAAGTTATTCAGTTTAGAGAAGGGACAACATTTCTAAGAAATGAAAAAATTATGAAAAACTATAAAATTTATTAAATGAGCAAAGAATGATAAAAAATTATAAAGGAACTTAACAACAAAATGAGAAAATAACGTATAAACACACACAGCACATGATATTTTCTAAATATTTCTGAAATATTTCATTGAAATTTTGAAATATTCCAATGTAAAGTCCTTGAAATATTGCTGAAATTAGGGAAATGTCCGCCTATAAGTAATATTACCGTGTAATTTTGCTGAAATATTTCATTAAAATATTATAGAAAAATTCCAACTTAAATGATGCTAAGGATCCTAAGGTGTTGAACATGTTAGAAAATAACGATTGATTTCGTATTTTAAAAAAGTTTCTAACTTTCTTTGAAATATTTTCTGAATATTGCAGAGTCTTCATTTGTAATATTGCAGGAGTCTTAATGTGTAATATTTCAGCAAAATTTCACGGCAATATTTCTTATAGGCGGACATTTTCCTGTTTTCATCAACATTTCATGAACCTTGCATTGAAATATTTCAAATCTTTCAATGAAATATTCATGAAATGTTTATGAAATATAATGTGATGTGTGGGAAAAAAAGAAAATCCTTAAAAAAATTAAACGATTAACTGAAAAGTTTTTAAAAATTGTACTAAATATTAAACAAATAAAAATTCATGAAACGAATTGAATTAATTGAATAATAAATTGAAAATTGGATGGAATAAATTTAAAAAAACTATGAAAACTTTTAATAAAGGTAATAAGTTTGACTTCGAAATATTTATTTTGTCTTACTTTAACAAAGAAATAAATTAATGAATTAATAAAATAAAGATAGATTTAATTATTAATGTTACATTGAGAATTTATATCGATGGCTCCTAAATGAAAACACGTTATTCGCGAGAGCAAACAAAAAACACCCTTATTTACGAAAAAAAATAGAAAACTCATCTGAAAATTTTGTATCCTAATTTTCTTAACTTTTGCTATGTTTTTATTTTAAGCCAATATCAAATGTCTAAATAAAGTAATTTAAGGATACAACGTTAGTTTGACACAATATAAACGTTTAAATTAATTTAAATTTTAATGTATCATTCATACTTTAAAAATAACCATTAATTAAAATTGTAACATAGCCTTCAAACAACTGTCATTTTGAATAAGATGTTTTCTATTTGTTTTTCTTAATAAAGTGTTTTCTATCTGCACTCGCGAAAAACGTGTTTTCATTTAGGGGCCATCGATATAATTTACAAGAATAATTTTAGAATTTCTTTTCTAACTTGTTTGCTACTTAAGTTTGATGAATTCGTAAATATAATTAATCATTAGTGAAAAATTTATTATTTTAATGAATATAATATATATTGCATTTAACAATCATGCGATTATACGAATATTCTTAATAACACAAAAAATAATCATAGAATATCTTGAAAATTATTACAATCTATATAATAATATTCAAAATGTTTGATCTATTTATAATAAAAATAATTAATTCTAAGAAGAATATTTGAATAAATGAAATTTTGAAAAACAATAATTTTAAATAAAAGTATTTTATAGTTCATTTTTAGGACAGAATTCTTGTAAATAAAAGCAAGTGCGTTGATAGATCAGTTGGTTAGGCATTAGGTTTAGTTTGCATTAGGTCGCGGTTTCGATTCCCCTTGCGTGCATGAGATAATTTAACTTTAAGATAAGTATTGTAAATAATCATACTGAATTAAATATATGCATTTGCGTGATTAAATTCCGAAAACAGCTCATTTTTTACTAATGAAATATTTTTGAACACTATTTTTTTTAGCTATTTAATCAATGAGATGGTTGATTATCTGATAAAAAAAGTTACCAGAGCACATTTTCAAAATGTTAATCAGCACGTGTAATTTTTTTACTGAAATTGTTTAAATAATCATTAAACGTATCTACATAGACGCAATTTCAATTTTTATTTTAGTAAAAAACATTTTCTGTACTTTAATGGATCGGACCGCGGGCGGGCGATATCGCCAGCAATGGCGCGTACATTGCGCTGCTTATGTGCCGGCACGTTGGTCCGATCAATCGGACTGAGGTCCGGCACACGGCCTGCTATTATGCAGGCATTTTGTTATCTGGGCCCATTTTCTTGATAAATAAAAAACATCTTAAAACATAGAAAGTATAGAAACCAACATTTTTTTTCCAAATTTTTCAAAAAGGTGATAAATATATAGAGAAAAGTGAGATTTAAAGAAGAGATTTTCCCAGTATAGTAATAGTATAATTAATTTTTTTTTTTAAATGTCATTTTCAATTTTTTATAAAAATGTGAATTGCATACATCTAATAAATAAACGCTTTTTATTTTTTAAACTTATTTTAAAATTAATTTTCCACAAAATGAAAATAACTTCTAAACTAATTTTTTTCTTGAAAAATGCAAGTAATTTTTTATTTTATCAAACTGAAAACCGTCTTGTAAAATATACAAAAATTGATTTTATGTATTCGCACATTTTTCAAGGAAACTGAAATTTTTAATTTATTTAAATTAAATTTGTTTAAATTAAATTTTAAAATTAATTTTCTTTTAAAAAAAGAATTCCAAATTTTCTTAATTCAGGCCTCGAATTGACTTCAGAAAGAGAAACAAGTCGTTTTAGTCGATTTTCATTAGATTACAACAAAAATCGAAAAAGTCGATATTTTTTATTTTTAATAAATTTTATTAGTTAATAACTAACTGACAAATTTTCAAGATTTTAATTCAGTAAGACAAATTTTGAAAAATAATAATTTAAAGTTATACTTTAAAAGAAGAAAAAATTCCAAGTCATTGTACAAATTATTCGAATTCAGAATTTTGGCATGTTTTAAATAATTAAATTTTCAAAGAAATTGATGAAAATATTATTGAAAAAAATTAATTTATTCATTGAAATTGTAAATTTGAATTGCTGAAAATTATTGACAAAATTTTACACAGTAATTAAATTTTAAAGAATTTTTAATAAAAAGATTTTAATTTTTGAAAAATTTTATTAAAATTATTGAAATAATTAATTTAGCGAAAAATTTAAAAAAAAATTTTTTTAGTACTCGAATTTGGAAGAGATATATTTAAGTTTTTCAGAAATAATTAAAATTTCAGGAGATAAACAAAAAGAATTTTGGTAAATTTGAATTTGAGGAAGATTTTTTTACAAAGTTCAGAAGATAATTGAATTTTAAAAAAATTTTAATTTAGAAAAGGGTTTCTTAATGGAATTTTTGAAGACTTCGATTAAAGTTATCAGAAATAATTAATTCAACAAAGAATTTAAGTTGAAAATTTGAAAAATTATTAAATTTTAAAATAGTTGCAGTTACTGAATGTTATTTTGCATTTTCATCCCAAAAAAGGGTTATTTTGAAATTTTATGCAATTTTTTACGAATTTTTGGATATATACCTTTAAAATTACTCTATTTTTAAAAAGTTACATATAAACAATTTTTTTCAATTTTTTTAAATTATTTATTGTTGTTTTTTAAATATTTAGTTAGGAACCTATAATATTGTGCCTAATTTTAAGTGTCATTGAAATCAATTGTTTTTAACTTAATAATTTTAACATTTCTTATTTTAAAACGAAATGAATTTTAGAAAAATTTGTATTGAGAAAGTGTTTTAAATAATAAAATTTTCATAAAATTTCAAAACAAATCGATTTATGTATATATATAAAGTTTACATTTTACCAATATTTATAAAATTGATCGGGTATTTTTATTTTTAACATTTTGAATTTTTTTAAAACTAATAATATATATTTATCATATGATGAGGAAGCTAAATGGTCATGAAATGAACAAATTTTTAACTTTTTTAAATGAATTAATATTTTAAGATTTTTTTTATTTTCATATAGAACAACAATTTACCAAAGTATCAAGCCAATTCAAGAACTTTTAATTTCTGACTGGGCCGATTGAAAGATAATTTCCCCATATATATACAATTTTTTTTTAGTTCTTCATCAAGAGCAACATGAGAGGTAGGTTTTTAATATATTTTTATATTTTATTTTTTTTAACACATAATATATATTAATATAGAATAAGAAGAAAATTATTTTGCGTTAAAATAATTTTTCAATGAAAATTTTATATGGAATGGCCCCCACTTGATATTTTCAAAATACCTAATTTTACCATCACTAAACGTTACTTTAGGCCTAGAATGAAATCTCTAATCGTAAATCTTAAGCTTTTACATGAGAGAGAAAAGGATAGAAATGTCTTTTGTCCTTTTCTCCCTCATGTAAAAGCTTAAGATTTACGATTAGAGATTTCATTCTAGGCCTAATTTCAATAAAAAATAAGGTTATATCAAAAAATACGCACATGGCAGTCATGGCACTCTATTTCATACAACATGCGTAATATGACATCTTCAGTGCGTCCAGTCTACACATTTCAAAATTCTATTATTTACCGATAGAAAGTACAACTTTTTACAAAAAAGCACAATTTTATCAATTGGAGCAAATTTACTAAAAAAAAACTAGTTTATCAAGCAAAGATATGTTCATCATAAATCACAAGCTATACTTTAGCGATAAGTAGTAAATCTGCATTATCGACAGTCGCTAACTAGTTACATGCATGAATGTATATATATATATATGAATAATATCATAGCGTTCATTCATTTCCGCGATCGGAAGATTCACGTTTCGGAAAATTTAATCTCGTAATTTATTGTTGTTCGGTTAAATACGGTCATAAAAGATTGTAGTGTCAAGCAGATAAGGATTATATTTAAAATAACTTTTTACTACTTCGTTAATTCAATTGTTTCACGGCATGGCACCGGATTTTATTTTAGATATACCCAGATTTAGAGTCGCCATCATTGTTCTCATACTCAAGATACAATACGGGTGAAAATCTAGGGAAATTACTTGAAATCACCAATCTTTCTATTGATTTCGAGTAATTTCTCTAGATTTCCGCCAAGATTGCTTTTTAAAGAAATTTTCGGCAAAACAAGTGTGAGTAATGTATAATTGGTGAATTATAAAATTTAAGAAAAAAAAATAATTATTATTTAAAATTAATTATGAAAGGGTCAATTTCAATATAAATATTATTTTATCAATGCCCTTAAGTGTGTCATGATATTTAGTTATAATGGTTAGTGAACTGACATATATCTAAGAACCTTAGGTAGAAATTTCCCTAGGAAGCCATCTTGAAAGCGGAAGTAACCCTTTAAAAAAAAGGGCTTAAAAAAAAATTCCCGCCGGCATAAACTTCCGGTTTAGTACCATATCATATTAATCTAGGGAATTTTGTCATAATCCATATTATAAATGAATTTGCCCTAGAGAATTTATGAAAATATTATTTCAAGTTGGCAGTAATTTATTTTTATTGTTTAAAGATAATTTCACACACCGGTGACTAAAATCGGCTTTAAATCTATTTTTCAGGTATCCCACATTATTGGAGACAAAAATTGCAGACATGGATTATTAGATTTTTAAAGGAATCAATTAATTCAAGTAAGAATTTATTGTCAACTAATTCTTTCTTAACTATTGTTTTCCGAATCTTAGACTTTTTTTTCTTCTTTTCATTTATGGGAAATCTAACCTCTGAAAATATTCTTCATTGTTTTATCTTTTCAAATATAAAATATATTTAAATTTTTCCCGCGAAAAATTTTAAAGGTAAATTTACAAAGAAAATAAAAATTATTCTTTTCAGTTCTTGAGATTATTTTTTCATTTAATAAATCTTTAGTATAATTTTTTTTTATTTTCGGCTAATGGCAGTCGATAAAGTAGAAATTTACCTATACAAGTATTTTCGATTGATCAATTAAATTTGGAATGATTTATTTTGTAATTTTCAGTTTATAGATTTATAAAATTCAATAAATAGTAAAAATTTAATAAATTTAAATTTTTTTCTATAAATTAAACTATTTTAATAATAAATTTTAAAGACTAATCATTTTTTTTTTGGCGGTAATTTCAAATAAAATAAAATTTTGAATTTAAATATAATTCTAATTCATTAAAAGATTTATTTTTAAAATTTTTTTCTGAAATTTACAAGAAAATTGAGTTTTAATATGAACTGTATGTAAATAATTTTTTTATTTTATTTTTTCCTTCGATTTATCTAAGATTGACTTTTTCTCAATTATAATTTTATGTAAAGAAAAATTTCAGAGGTTCGAAACAAGAGTTCGAACGCAACCCTGAATTTCTCCATCGTAACGCCATCTATTAACAATTATTCAAAACTACAAATCAAAAAAAATTAACAGATAATCTAATTTATTGTACAAGTCGTGGTACAAGTTCAGAAAGAAAAAATAATTTTTAAAATAATAAAGTAAATAATAAATTAAATTAAAAAAAATTTTTTTTTTTACTTACATTTGATATAAAATTATTGTATTTCTTTATTTTTCATAAAAAAGAGAAAATTAAATTTTAAAAAAAATTATTTTAAACAAATCTAATTTTTTATTTTTGAAATAAGAGTTCATTAATTAAAAATTACTTACATATATAGGTAAAGGGTGGAGTAAAACACAAAAATTAATTAAACTTCACGTTTTCTTGTTTTTGAAAAAAAAAATTTATTGAAAATTTTTTTGTGAATGTGTTATAATAATTTTTAACTTTTTGAATCAATTAAATTTGAATTTACAATTTGTTAAAATTCATTAAATTATTAATAAATTTAATCATATTAGATAAATAATTGAATTATCAGTTAATAATTTTGATAAATTATTATTTATTTGAGAAAAAATAAATTAATTACAAAATTACTACCTAATAAATATTATTTATTATTTAATAAATTTATAAAGAAATTTAATAAATAAATAAATAAATTAGAAAATTTCTAATAAATATAAATATTCTTTAATTTATCAGTTATAATTTAATAAAAAAAAATTTTAAAATAGAAATAAAAAATTTATTTTATGAAAATAATTAACTTATTAATAAAATTTTTATTAATATTATTGTAAATTAATATGTCATGATTTTGTTAATTTTTCATTAAATAAAAAAAAAATATCAATATTATTTATTATAAATCTTAGTAATTAAATTTTATTTAAAAAATAATTGAATAATTTTTAAAAATTTCTAGTAGAAAATTTTTCAAATTAAAAAAAATTGAATCAATTTAATTGAATTTTTTAAAATAAAATAAATAAAAATGTCACGTTTGATGCAAATTTCTTGTATACAATGAAAATATGAATATTTAATAGTATTTTATTTAATAAATAAATAATTTATAATAAATAATAATTCTAATAATAATTAATTACTGTTAAAAATTAAATTAAAAAAGATTTTAAAAAACTTTATTATTTAATATTTATAATATTAAATTAAGTATAAATACATTAAACTAAAATTATAATAAATAAATATTATTTTAAATATAGCATTTTAACATAATCGTTGATAATATTAAATAATACATTTAAATAATTATAAAATAAAAAAATTATTAAATGAAAAAAATTATACACCCAGAGAAAATATTTCTTTGATTTAAAGAAACCAGTTTCTTTGACTTGTTTTCTTTAATTCAAAATTAAATTTTCTTTGAAACAAAAAAAGTTTCTTCGATTCAAAGAAAATTTCTTTGATTCAAAAAAAATGTTCTTTGAATGAAAAAAAATTTTTTGCATTAAATCGAAGAAATCCTAACATTGATATAGGGTCAAAGAAAAATTTAATTGAATTAAATAACAAATTTCTTTGAAACGAAGTTAATTTTTTTTTGAATCAAAGATAATTTGTTTGAAATAAATAAATTTTCTTTGAATCAAAGAAAAATTTGACAAAGAAATTGATTTCTTTGAATCAAAAAAATCTTTTTTCTCGATGTATAATTAAAATTAAATACACCCAAAGAAATGTTTTATTTGAACTAAATATAATATATTTGAGTTAAATAAACGTATATTTGTCTTATAGCCTACTAGTCTATTTATTTGACGTAAATTTTTATTTTATTTAAATCAAATAAAAATTTATTTAAATTAAATAAAAATTTATTTGAATCAAATAAAAATTTATTTAAATTAAATAAAAATTTATTTGAATCAAATAAAAATTTATTTAAAATAAATAAAAATTTATTCAAATCAAATAAAAGTTTATTTAAATTAAATAAAAATTTATTCAAATCAAATAAAAGTTTATTTAAATTAAATAAAAATTTATTTAAATCAAATAAAAATTTATTTAAATCAAATAAAAATTTATTTAAATCAAATAAAAGTTTATTTAAATCAAACAAAAGTTTATTTAAATTAAATAAAAATTTATTTAAATCAAATAAAAACTTATTTAAATCAAATAAATATTTATTAGACTGTGAGATTTTAACATAATTTTTTTTTTCAATTATTCAAATGAAAGTCAATTTTTTTATTTTTCATTGTAATTTTTTTTTAATTCTTTATTTTTAAATATTATTAATTTATTTTAAACTTATTAGAAACTTAATTTAACTTATTATTTATTATATTTTATAAAAGTTTATAAATTTTGTTTTTTTTTATATATATATTTATTATTTTTTAGTTCTTTGGAAAAAAAATTTTTCTAGTTACTTTTTATTTTTAAATAATGTATTATTTTTTTTCTGTATTATAAAATTATGTCTGTATTATTGGGATAAAAATTTTTATACAAATTTTTTTTTTTTTATTCAAATAAAATTCAAATTCAATTATTACATTCAAAAATTATTTTGAATTTAAAAAATTTGTTTTTTTTTAAATATATTTTATTGTATTTTTTTTTTTTTAATATATAAATTATATAATTGTATCTCTATATTATTGGTAGAAAAAAAAAAATTCTTGCGCGATATACCAAACGAGGAAAGGAGAAAATGGTATGAAATTGACATTTCCTTCTTTATCCCTTGTGTTTATGAATGAACGGGAGGAATCACTAGATTTCGCCGGTCGTTCAGTGTGTGTAGTTTTAGTAACTTTCAAGTCTCGTCGTGTGTCGTGAGAAATTTTTTCACTTCCCAATATATATATATATATATATATACATATGTATATATACATATACATATTCAATAAGAAAAATATCATCATGAGATGAATTTATTATACACGGTAAATGTTTTTAAATATTAAAAAAATTATATTATGAAAAACGAATTGGTGAAGGGGATAATAATGGAAGGGTTTGGGGGGGGAGGTAAAGAAAACGGAAAATTCAGTGTGAAAATAATATATATATATATGCAAAGAGATGAAAAATAATTGTGTGTGCACCCCGCATGAAAATTCCCCAGAACTTCTCCACCCTGTTTATATACATATATAGACGAAAAGCCCTTTATCTCGAACGCAGTCTTTCAAAACCGTTGAGAACACAACCCTCGCGTTTTATATATATATATATATATATATGTATATATGTGTGTCTCATCGCGATTTCACGAAATTCCATATAATATTTGTTTACGCAGGAAAAATAAATTTTTTTCGTCTCAATGTTTTGGGACGTAAAAAAGAAAGATGAAAGTTTATAATCGCAATGTATATTAAACAATACACACGGGAGTAGTTGTTTCTTTTTTTTTTTTTTTTTTCCTTTTTTTTTTGGGAACAAAATGTGAATTATTCGGTTGTGTTCCGTTTCCGGCTCCAGGAGTGAGAGACAATTTTTTTTTTTTTTTTTTCATGTAATTTTTTTAATACGTGAGTGTTATTGGTGTTTGATAAATATTTGCAGAGCCATTTAAATCCATCATCATCATCATCATCATCATCATGCTACGTCGCCCAATTTAGTTGAATCCAAGAGAAACAAAAAAAAATCGTCTAACCTAAAAAAAATATGTAAGTTTTTCCCCATTGTGCGAATTTTGAGCGTTAGGAATGAAGAAAAAATTTTTCTCTAATCGTGTGAAAATAAATGTGAAAAAGAGATTTGGTTTTTTTTTTTTTTTGGCAATTTTTGTCAGAAGTGAGGACAAGAAAGAGGGAGGGAGAGAGAGAGAGAGATAGTAAAGAGTGAAATAGGTATAGAGTGTGTTGGTTCTTATACCAAATTCCCGGTGTCAACTCTCCACACGGGGTTTCTCTCTCTCTCTCTCTCTTTCGATGGGATCCGAATTCCTGACGTCAAAGAGCCAATATGGCGTCTACAATATAAGCAGGTAGACCCTAACCTCAAAAACGTGAGTTTCATTTTGTTTTCTAATACACCGACAGTTGGACTAACTTTGACCAACGGAGATGAAAATTGACGAAATATCACGCTTAAAAGCATCCCATCGGCTAATATCTTTAATAAGGAAACAAGTAAGTCTTTCTGTTTTTTTTTTTTTCATTCGCGTGTGTAAAATTCGCGACGCTTTTCAACGACGCTTTTCACGATCATAGAAGAGAGAGAGAGAGTAAGTGAGTGAGTGAGTGAGAGAATTGAGCCGATGAGAGACACTTGGACAACAAAATTTTAACACTCGCGATTTTATACAGTTCTTTTCCTTTATATGTTATATATATATATATGTGATGAAAAGGGAGAGAGATACATATATCTAGTGATTGTTTCGCGATAAAAATTCGAGACCTTAAAAAAAAAAAAAAGGAACAATTTTTCTTCTTGAATTATTTTACATGTAATTTCGTGAAACTCGCGAGCTTTTTCTCTACCGAAAATTGCTTTTTTTTTCTAGTGTGTTTTATATATGTAAATAATATGAGAGGAAAAGTGAAATAGTCGATGTAGTGCAAAGGGAACTTTGAAGAAGACGTGTGTCGTGTTTAATCGGCAAAAAAAAAAAAAAAACGACGAAAAAAAATCTATTTTTCTCCCGAAAAAAATCCAAATGTTTCTCCGTCTTTTTTCCAAATGGACCTGGAAACGTAATTATTTATCGAATAGTTTTCGATTTACAGGAAACTTTGGGTACGTTTCTGATTGTTCTCTTTTTTTTCACTCCCTGTCTCTCTTGCTCTCTCTCTTTCTTTCTCTCTCTCTCTCTCTCTCTATTGCTTTATTTCTCTCTCTCTCTCTTTCTCTCTCATAGCCAACTGAAATCGATTCAAAGGGATTTTTACGCTACCGGAAAATTGTAGTATTTTTTCGACAGTGCACCACATTCGGAAAATGAAGCCGAGGATTTTTTTTTTTTTTTCTTTTTTTTTTTCCTCCTGTTTTCACGCACACACAAGTCTCATGATATCGATTAAGTGTAGGGTCAAGTTCCCGAATTTGCGAGACTCACTATTATAACTGGACTGTATATACTTGATGTTTTAGATGCATATATATATTATTATTATTATTATTTGATCGATTTATTAAGTAGTATTAATAACCCATTTATTTGTTTCGTTGCCGATTTTCATTTGACATTATTAGAGATGAAGAAATTACATAAACCAAAATCGATATTTTGTTGTTATTTATTTGTTTTTTTTTTATTTTCTTCAAATTCATGATTTTCTATTTTATTTATGACTATTTTAGAAAATAAATTGCATTTTCTTTTTAGTTTTTTCAATTTTTTTTTATTTTCCGGAAAGTTTAAATTTAATTATTTATTTTTGTATATTATTATTATTATTATTGTTATTGTTATTGTTATTGTTATTGTTACATAAACTGAAAAAAATTATTTGATTCAAATAATCGATTACTTAACTATTGTCAAATAAATATTTAATTTGTATTAAATAATTATTATTTATGTCAATTAAGTGATATTTGTTTCAAGTAAATATTTATTTAAATAATAACAATTATTTGAATCAAATTTTTTTTTCCAGTGTATTATTATTCATTATTATTAATTAATTAATTATAAATTATTATTATTTACAGGCCTCGGATTATATGACTTTTTCGACTATTTACGACTTTTTTGAAAAAATATTATTTTTTTAGACTTTTTTTTTACATTTTTAAAAAAAAAATTTTTAAACTACGTTTTTTTTTGTATTTATTTTTATTTATTTATTATTACACTTGTCTATGGATATAATAATGCATACAAGAGGAATTCGTTCGTATGAGAAATATAACAAAAATAAAAACAGAATTAATATAAAACAATATAAAAATATACCATCTATACAATTTGACGATCAACTAAAATTTTATTTAGCAAATTTTTAACTACAATTCTTCATTAAATTAATTGTTTTTTAATAATTTTAATGAAATTCTTTATAAATTAAATTATTTTAAACTCTATTTTTCAATTAAAATTTTTTTTAGAATTTAAAAATTGTTTAGAATTTAAAAAAAAAATTAAACAAATAAAATTACCAAAAAAAAAATTTTAATTCAAAATCACTTGAAAATATAATTATTTGCAAAAAATTTCAATTATTATTAGGATGATTTTTATAATATTCTTCGAAAATTCAATTATCTGAAAGCATTTTTCAATTAAAAACTTTTGGAATTCAATTTTTTTTAATGTGATTTCTAATATAAATTTTTCATCAACAGAAATCACTAAAAATTTCTCTCTTATTATAATTATTGTTTGAAATTTAATACAATCTTTTGAAATTCAATTATTTTCAAAAATTTCAATTTAAAAGCTTCTAAAATTTGCACAACTAAAATTTTTTGAAATTTAATAATTTCAATTATAACTCTCCTGAAATTGAATGATTTTTAATGATTTTTATAATATTCTTTTGAAAATTCAACTATCTTGAAACTATTTTTCACTTAAAAATGATTTTCAAATTATTGTATTTTTGTCTGCAATTTGTAATTAATTTTTTAGTGAAATCATCAAAAATGTTAAATTAAAAATCACTTGCAGTTCAATTCTGTAAAATTTAATTATTGTCTGAAAATTAACAAAATCTTTTGAAATTCAATTATTTCTAAAAATTTCAACTTTAACTCTTTCAAAATTATTTTTGAAAAAATTTATTTAAAAATCTGTAAAACTTGATTAAGTATTGTCTGAAATTTTTTTTTACCATCAAAACTAAAAATCATGACAAAATTTTTATAATTCGAATAAATTGCTTAAATCAGATTTCAAAAAATTATAAAACTGGAACTTTTAATGAATTTTTTTTTTAGAAATTTGTCCTAATTAAATAAAATTTTCAAAATTTGTCTTACAATTAGTTTGATTCTGAAATATTGCCAATAAATTTTCTTGATAATATTTTTATAGAATTATTCTTATTACAGAATTAAAAAAATGAATTTAATATCTAATAACATTAGTTATGTAAAGTAAAATATTTATTAACCAATTAAATTTTGTTAAAATAAAAAAAATCGACTTTTTTCCCTTTTTTTGAAATATAAATCGACTAAAACGACTTTTTTTTGGAGCTTTTATAATCGATCCGAGGCCTGTATATTGAAATTATATTTTTTTTGTTTTAACTATTTAATATTATTTTGTTTGCCAAATATTATTATTGAACATATTGAAAGTGAAATAAAATTAAGATAATTTTTCTTTAAATCCCGCTACTTTAAAGTCAGAAAATTTCACAAAAATAAGTTGGAATTGAAATTTTCTCTCTGAATATTTATTTATTTATTTAATATAGATAATATTGAAATAATTGTACTTTAAATAAAAGTTTCTTTTAATATTAATGAAAGATATAATGCTAAATAAAAAAAAAATAAAATAATATTAATCCTATTGAAAGACCAATTTTTTTCTCAGATTTATTTACAATCTAAAATTGTTTGATGTTATCAAAAATTTAAGAATAGGAAAAATTTTAAGAAAATAATTTTAAATTTTAGAATTTTTATGTTTTTAAAAAATGAAAATTTTTGTTAAAAATTCTTTACAATTTAAATTTTTATTCATTTTTATTTATTTTAATTTTTAAATTCATATAGTTTAAAATTATAAGAAAAACGTGTTTCAAAATGTTACATTGAAAAATATAAAATTGTATAAGAATTTAAATATTTTAAAGTATTACCAGAGAAATTTCAATTAATCAAAATTTACATTTTAAGTAAAGTTGACAATTTTTTTCCGACCTTTTTTTTGTGGAATTTACACGTAAAGAAAATAAATAAATCAAATTTTATAAAAGGCTAAATCTATTTCAAATCATGCAGGCCGACTAACTTCAAGTTGTAGATTTAACTAACACTGAAATATGTTATTCTATATGAAAAACGTATTTTTTTATTTTTCATAAAATTTATTTTTAACGAAGTTATGCGCATTTGAAATTTTAATGATAAAACTAAAAAAAAACAATTTTTGAAAAATTGTTTTGATTGTATTTTTTTTTTCTTTTCAGTGTAAGCAAAAAATTTTTTTTGGATGTTATTGGTCCCGTTTGAAACTTGCAAAAAGCTTAAAAATTAACGAAACTAGAGATTATTTTCCGAAAATATTTAAAGTTAATTTTGTCAAAAAAACCCCCACTTATTTTTTCTCCCAAATTTTTACCATAAATTCGTACCAGTATGGACAGTATTTGAAATTTTTTTTAAACGTAATTTTGATGTAAAAATAGTAAAAAATTAAATGATATTGATTATAATAATAATAATAATACATAAACAAATAGTATTAAATAAATAATAAGAAAATAATTTTTCCATGTAAAACATAAATATGTAACATCAATGATAAATTCTATTTAATTATGATTATATAAATTTGGTTAAATAAAAAATTAAATATAAATTTTATTTCGTACAGCATTAAAAATTCTAAGAAAAAAAATTGAAAAGTTTGATTAAATTCATAGTATTTCTATTAAATGAGAATTTTAATTATTTATTTAATTAATTGAAAATTTATTAAGATTATTATTTTTTTTATTTATTGAACTTTTATCATCTCGAAAGTATGAGATTGTCTTTTTTT